CCCTTGAGGTTCCCTTGTGGAAGTGGGAGTGCATCACCATGGATTTCTTAGTGGGACTGCCAAAGTCGAGGAGCGGGGACTTGGCGTATCGGCTAGCTTTACCACCGGATTTGTCGGGGGTGCACGATGTGTTTCATGTCTCGATGTTACGGAGATATGTGCATAATCCTGACCATGTGGTGGACTTCGGCGAGCTGCAGGTCGAGCAAGACCTTACTTATGAGGAGGTACCGGCAGCCATTTTGGACCGGAAGGTCCATCAGCTGAGAAACCGCGCATTGAGTTTAGTGAAGATGCGGTGGAGTCGACACGACGAATCCGAGGCGACATGGGAAAAGGAGGACGATATTAGGAGGCGTTATCCGAACTTCATGTTTTGAGTTTCCCTTGGTATATTTTTTAGTGCTCTCTAGTTGCTTTGTTTTCGAATTCTGAGGTCGGAATTCCTTTTAAGGTGGGTAGATTGTAGCGCCCCATTTGTTTCGGATTATTTTAGAATTATTATTGCATTATTATTATTATTATTATTATTATTATTATTATTTAAATGTCTAATTGTCTTAATATCTTAATAATAAATATTGTGTGTATGAATATATATATAATTCGGTTTTATTTATTATCGAGCCACATTGTATAACTTTCATTATCGATCGAATTTAGTAATTGAGTCAGTTCAATTATTAATTAATTCCGGTCTATTTATTTTTATAAATGGATTTTATAAGACGAGATTTATTATTCGAAAATGGCGAACAATCGAAATCGAGTATATTTCGAATAATCGCAATCGAGTATATTTCGATTAATAGCAATCGAGTATATTTCAATTAATCGTTCAAGATAAGTCGTGAACCGAACCAAGCATGTTCGTGTATAAGTCGAGCTTTAGTATTAAATACTTAGAATTTTTTTAAGTTCATAAGTCATGAAGTTAATCAATTAAGATTAATTTTTTTTTTCTCATGTGAGATGCTCGACCAAGCATCTCGTGTCCAGCTGCTACATCAAACTTGTCCAAAATAAGGGCCAAAATAATTTAAGTTAAGGCATTAGCATATCATATGCATGTGTAGTAGATTATAATAGTCATGACAACTCATCACTTATTAGTCAACTAGAACATGCAGATATTTAGATATATATTTCGGCTAACTGGTATGGATGTCATATATGCGTAAGTCACCACATGTGATTATAGCCGTGTATGAGTTAGTTTTGAGAATCTTTTGTTCAACTAATATTCTTGCTATATTTTGTCTCAAACATTGTATGAATTATTTTATAAATTCGGTTCATTAGATAAGAAGGGTGAGAAATCAAAATTTAAAACTCAAGCAAACTCAACTAAAATAAGAACCGAGAGAGAGAGAAGTGAGAGACTCATTTCATGATTTTTTTTCCAATACTAGCTTATTTTTATGACGACTTGCGGTGTGCCGTCGGGACTCGAAAACCGAGTCGAATCATACAAAAATATACTCTTGTGAAAGCTTGAGAAGAGAAGAAGACATCGGTGGTATCGATTTATTAATTCGGGGTCCCGAGCATTTATTTTGAGATTACTTTTGCAGTCTTGAGAATAAAGTTTTGGGCCGTTTTTCCGGCGGAACTCCATTCCCGTTATTTCGTTCGATTGCTTTAACTGAGCTCGTATTTTCCCAAAGACGGTAAACCTTTCCAAACCCTCTCGTTATTGCGGTTGTTCTCGGATATCACATGTTATATATAAGTATCGTTCGTACTACTGAATCCTTGTTTGAAGTTGAATTTCTTTCAACTTTTATATGCATGTGATTTAATGCTCTTTTGTGCTGTAATTATGACCATCAAAAACTCGTAATTTGTTATTATGGTCTTCTGATGAAATTTAGTATTTTCTGTTGGATTTCTTAAGGTTTTGGAATTTTGATAATTCGAGTTATATCGAGTGAGTTATGATTTTTATAAAATGAGTGCGCAAGCAGTTTTTTTTCGAAAATCCGGCAGCATATATTTATAAATGTTTTTCCTGTTTATGCTATCTTAATGTGCTCAAATGAGTTTATAGTCTTCATAAAAGTTGTAGGTCTATTGATTAGCTTTCTAAAGAGATAAGATTCATGCTGAGGTGATATATGTAGCTCGCGTTGTGATAATTTGAATGTAGATATGCATGAAGTAGGATTTTATACTTTGACAGAATTTGATGTTTAAATGTTAACAGTTTATACACTATCTTAATGGCTTTATATGCTTTTGGTTTTATCATAAGAATTGTAGATGTATGTCTTAGGATTCTAATACAACTTTAATCAGGTTAATATGATTTATGTGCTACAAGTGGTGTCGAATTCAAAATCGCTACACGAGTAATGTTTTGAAAAATTCATGTGGTATTATCTAAAATAAAATTTATCTTTTTAATGCTTACTTCTATGACTTATATGACCTGAATTGATCTAAGTGTTTTTGATATGAACCTTAAATTACATGAGTTAGTTAGTATTGGGTCGATAGTTATTGATAGGGACCTCTTAATTATTGTAGGTGTTTGACGAGTCGAGCTCTCAACTTACTCGTATTTTTCCGTGATATCTGTTGCTTCAAACCAGGTGGGTTTACTTATAAAATTTGCTATGCCGTATGTATTTTATTTAATGTTGGGTTGGTATGATCTAAGTATGCATGTAAACCATGTAGCCTATCGGCGTGAGCCGATTCGGCCGTCGGTACGGTTGTTCCCGTCGATGTAATACGGTTACCCTTGCGAGGTAAGTCCCTTAAGACCTAATGAAAGGCTGTGTCCGTAGCGTGGCACGTACCCCCACTGCTAGGGTAATGAATCCCCTTTTCGTGGCTAATGAAAGATGTGTACACATGGGTAATATATTGTGATATGATATGGGGATGTGACAGGTAATTGATTTATGTTCATACTGCGACCATGCCTTCTTTACATTATT